GCTGATGTTGCCAATATCTCCCTCGTGAAAACAAGGACAGCTAATTCCTGTGTGAAAAACATGCAAATTCGATTCAGGAAAAGCCATTTTTGAAACGCTAACATTGTTTCCAGGCAAGAAGTGCTGTGGGATGACATAAAAGTGAGCAGTAACCCTAACCCTCCACACACTCCTTGATTAATTTTAAGGTTTCAGGCAGTTCTTCAAAAATAAAAAGTAAATTAAATTTCCTTAATGCATTAATGCAATTGTAAACCGCTTTGAAACTCAGATCTGCAGTTAAAAGGCGGTATATAAATAAAGATTACTTACTTGCAAACATTATGAACAATATAGGTTACATTTTGACAGTGTTGTGCGTGACTGAGTTCAAAAGAACGCGTTCATTGAACACGCTCATTTTTTTGTGAACGTTGAGTGCAAAAAATGTGTTGCGTTCAGCAACACATTTTTAAAAAAAGAACTTGAACGTGAATTAGTTCATTTTATGTGTCATGAACGGCAGACATCACTATGAACGTTGGAATCTGTTTTCTCTTTTGAAAACGCAACGAGAGAAAGTTCCTCCCTCCTGTATTCTCGCACTTTTTCCACCGAAATCAAAAAATTCCTACGGTTTCCACCGTCTGTGAACGCACCCCGACTCCGTGCTGCGGTGCGGCGCTGTGAGCTGGTGCTTTTCACATGTGCCCGAGTCGTGATGAAAACACAGGGTGAGTTAGCGACAAAGTTTACACCGTTTACATTTGACATAAAGTATAGACACACGCACTGCAGCGCATTACTGTCTGTAGTTTATGAGCAGAGATGGAGCAACTCCGTTTGGCTCCCATTGAAAACCATGTAAATCTGGTCTGTTTTGTAGTCAAAAGGCTCTCCTCCTGTGGGTGTACAGGAGATTATATATATATATATATATATATATATATATATATAGCTCGTAGTGTGAAAAAAAGTATTTATTTGACTATTTCACAAAAAAAGTAAAATGAACTGAACTTGAACTAGTTCAGAAAAGTTGTGAACTGGCACAACACTGCATTTTGATAAGCCACTAAACTTACCACGAAGACATGAAACTATCTCTTCCATGGAAGGCGCTGCAGTATAACTGGGAATGAATCCATTTGCCTTCCTCACAACTGAAGCCACACAATCAACATTTTCCTCCTGTTAAGTATAACACATGTTGTAAATGATGTATGTATGTATGCATGTCAAAATACATACATGGTCTGAATGATGTGGGCTCTATGTGAGTTCATCAGAACTGCTTGCTTGTGGGGAGAATTGTTGAGGCCATACACATAGCCTTCTCTTCTTTGACTGAGAATAAAGAAAATGGATATACTTTATAATACCACAGGTCAGTATATTGAATCATTAACATCACAACAAATTAGACTTACCATGCGGACAGGTGACAAACGCTCCTCTGAACTGCTGCCAAACAGATCCTCAGATTGGGCGGCACGGTGGCTGAGTGGATAGCACTCTCGCCTCTCAGCAAGAAGGTCCTGGGTTCGAATCCCGGTCGGACCAGGGCCTTTCTGAGTGGAGTTTGCATGTTCTCCCCGTGTCTGCGTAGGTTTCCTCCGGGTACTCCGGTTTCCCCTACCACTAAAAATATGTCCAATAGTTCTAGCATGTGCCTCCTGTACAGGCCCCGCTCCCATCTCTGTGTGGAGTGAGAGACAAATGCCCAAAAATTAACAATTGTAAACCGCTTTGAGACTCAGATCTGCAGTGAAAAGGCGGTATATAAATAAAGATTACTACTACTACTACTATTGTTCAAGATTTCTTTTTTGAGAGTGTTTTTTTTTAGTCCCTCAATTACGTTTCTTGTACTTGCAGTCTCGCTATTTTTTATTTTTTGGAGCTTTTTCTTTGCCTAGAAAACAATGTATGGAAAGAGTTTAATATTTTCAATGCAAAGCATAGGTTTAAAACCGAGTAGGTTTTTCATTACAAGTTAATATAGCCCAACTTAAAAAATAAAAAGCATACGTTTGATAGACCCAAACATAACATTAGCAAAAGCAAACATACCCTGTTCTGTATGTCTCACCTGACAAGATGTTTCTTCAGACCAGTCACCATTTGCAGCGACACACGTGTCATCTATGGCCCAAATATTTTACCCAGGAGAAAAAAAAAAAAACAAGTTCTTGAAATACATCTGAAAAGGAACGATCGGTGAGGCATAAATATCTCATCGTGAAATAAAATTAACCTAGCAAGCTTAAGCTAACTTCAAATAGCAGCACTTTAGCAGCCTCTGTCCTGCTGGGTTCCTTTCGTGACCCACACTTAATTTCTATCCAATTGTCGTCGTCTAAATCGGGCTGGGAGGTTACCTGCTTGAATCTTCCTGAACTCTTTAGAATTATTCCGGTGTTCTCCACTTTCAAGCTGTTATTGTGCAGGTAAAAATCGCGAGCATGAAGGACGTCATCCTTAGCTGCTGTTTTTCTTCCAATGAGGACTACATGCGCAAGAGCAAGACCAACTGTTCTGATTGGCTGATAGTTACAAAGCTGCAATGAATGCAGCACCTGATTGGACAATCATATTTTAGGCGCGGATCATTGGAGCGGATGCCTCCATAGTTAGCAGCTATTCAGCTATTCTGGTTTAGTTTATGATCGTTTCACACATGCTAGGGTTTTGTATCATTCATATAATAACACAACTCTTAAAAAAAGAAATAACTCTGTTGTACAGCTGAATGATGAAAGGTTTTGTGAAATTTTAACACTAATAGATTTTACATCTGAAAATGGATTGTCAGGTCAAGCTTCTGTTTTAGTTAAAGCTGAGTAAAACTGACCATGTTTGGAGAGACAGCTGAAGATATCTTCTACATTTATTACTGAAGTGTTAAGAACCAGCAATGTATTTGCTGTTGATCCTTGAATGTTTGGATCCTTGAATAAATTGTTTTTGGTTCCTCTGCCAAATAATATTGAAAGAGATTAAAAGTAAGGAAATGCAAAGTATCTTTTTTGCCAGATTAACAACATATTAATAGTTTATTTTAGTCTTAGTGTAAATGAAAAAAAAAAAATATATATCCTTCTATCTCTCAACAGCTGTCAATCCAACACTATTGAATTTGCTGTGTACTAAAATCAAGTGTATTTTCTCTTACATTCAAGTATACTACCATAAAATATATTTAGAATACAAATCTGTAATGTATTTATGATATATTTTTCTTGTACTAAAATTAAGTATAGTTTTCTTAAATACATTTTAAGTATACTCTTGTGAAATATATTTAAAATACAGATCTGTAATATATTTTGGGTATATTTTGAGCGTACTAAAAATTAATGTATTATTTTTCAAATATATTATAATATAATAAATAATAAATGTATTTGGAGTACTTCTCTAAAATACACATTTAGTAAACTTTAAATATACTATATTTAAATATAATTTAACAAAATATGTTTACAATGTATTAGTTAGAAATGGAATACACTATAAGTATATTTAAATGTATATTTTTTTCACTTGGGTAAGCACAGAGATTTCACATGTGTACAGAGAAAGTGAAAATAACTTTGTTTAAAGCCTACTGCACACCTCTCTATACCGCCAGCTCATTGTTTGTTCTTCATAATGTCCCCACTCTGAATGCTATGATCAGAAATGTTATTTATAAGTTCATGAAAAGCTCTGACGGCTGTATGTCCAAAGTACAGCTTTGGGTAAGTTCATAAAGCTCGCTTGTAAGCATTCGATCCTCGTAAGTAGCATAAGCCACAACCGACTAGCGTCAGTCGGTTGTGTTTACATCTGAAACCACAATAAAAAAATGCATTGCTTTTTTGTTACATGAAAAAATCTTGACCTTACCTTCTAAATGTCTGAAATTGGTGATTTTTGTAGCAATTAAAACAATCGATGGGCTGGAAAAAAGAGAGACAGATCACGCTCACCACAGGTAATCTAATTGGAGAGCGTGATTTGATGCCCACTTTTTTGAGAAAAATACCCACAATGCCGTGCGGTCGAGCCGGAAGCTCGGAACTCTTGATCCCTGTATAATCACAGCTGTTGATTTCCACAGAATCTTTGAAACAACAACAACAGCAGAACAGACATAAACGAAACATTTTGCTAATTTTACAGAACGAAAGGATTCAGGTTGTTTTTCCTTGTTATTTTGACAACATTACTTCTTAATGCGCTGGAAACGACAGCAGGTCCTGAGTAGCTCAGATATAGCTGTTGTTTTGTGCTGTACAATAGTTATGTGTTTCTGTTGCTGGACACTTGAATTTATTCTACAGAGGAACAGTATCTATCTCTCTATTTATCTATCTATCTACTCTTTACAAAGAGTGCTGACTGTTCTGGTCAGTCTGTAGTGATCAGCAGATTTGTTTTCACCTCAGAATCGACTTCAACAGTGTGTATAGATAGACTGATAGATAGATAGATAGACAATATATGGATAGACGATAGATAGACAACAGATAGATACAGTATAGAAGATAGAGAGATAGATAGACAACAGATATATAGATAGATTGATAGATAGATAGATAGCAGCAGAAACACATCCATCCACACAAATAAATTAATACATAATTTTAAAAGTTACTCTCAATAGTAAGGGTTAGGGTTGGGACTGTCATAGCAACGCTGTCTTGAATGCCTCATTCCTCCGTGGGTCTATCAGGTAATATCACCTGCTCCACACACACACACAGAGACACACACGCACACACACACAGAGACACACACACACACACACACACACAGATGGGTTCCAGCTGTGGAGAGGCTGGGTGACGACGGCCCTCACCCGCCCTCCGCATGCTGCTCACCACTTGTTGCCCGGGCAACGCTGAGCCAC